CCCCCGCCGCGTCGGCCTCTGGAAACGAACTCGTGAGTTTTGTCCTCACCGAACCGAGCGCGGCGAAGGTGAACCTTTGCGTGGCGTGGAAGGCGGAGGTAGAGGTGCTGCGCCTTCGCTTTCGTGGCGAGGGCGGCGCGGTGGAGGGCCTCGAGAGCGTCGCGCGCTGCCGGCTGTCGTCGTCGGTGCGGGGGATGGGGGCGGCAGCCGCCGGCAGCCTCGTCGGCCTTCTGGGCGATTCCAGCGTGGTGCTTTTGGAGGTTGACGTTGGCGTTCTGGTCGAAAAGCATCCGATGGAGGAGTTGGACCCCGTCCTGGGGTCGCTTTCGCTCGGTCGACTTCGATGCGGTGGGGCTGTTGGGAGCGATCACGCATCGGTGTTCGTCCTCGCGCGGCGGCGGATTCTGAGCTGCTCACTACTGCCGTGGGATGTGCGGCTGCGCGATCTTATTGTGAAAGAAAAGTACGCCAAGGCGCTCGATTTCATGCAGGATCTAGCGGAAGAAGTCGCGCTGCCGGTGGTCGGGCTCTCTGCCGAGCCGGCGCGTCGTCGTAAAGCGCTGCGAGTGTATATTGAAGCCGTCTGCATGGGCTATCTCGGTCATGCTCTTCGTAAAGGTGACGCGCTGGCGGATACCTCGCGGGATTCCTTACAGAAGAAAGGCCAGTGCGATCCTTTCGAGCTTTACCCCGTGCTGAGTCGCATGATTCTTTTTTGTGATCGCGCGGACGAGATACAGGTTTTCTTCGGTCCTGTCATGGCTCGCCTTCGTGAAGCTGGGCTCTTGGAAGAGGCATTTTACGCGCTAGAGACCTCGATGCTGAACAATATTCTGACATCGATGCCCGAGCAGTATATTGAGTTTTTTTTCCAAATCGCGAGGGATTCTGACTGTTTAATCCCTAACAGGGAGGAGGCACTTTCTGTGGAGTCGTTTCGCTCGGCAAGTCCAGAAGTGTTCGACACGCAAGAACGGAAGAGCGGCATCCAGCGCGCTGAGGAGGCTCTAATGCATTTAGAAGACAACGTAAGCTGTCTTCTCCAATTAGCCAAAGCTCACAACTTGATTCGACTTGAGGTTGTCGTTCTCTCTGTGCGCCAGCACAAATTCATTCAGGCTCTTGAGACGGCACTGAAATGGGTGGAAAAAACAAAGGAGAAAAACGGCTCTCTGAGGGATTCGATTACAGACCTTACAAGGCATACCCAAACGGTCGCGCTGGACTTTTTGAAGTTTACCATGGAAGGGCAAACCTTTATCCCAGGGGTGAATATCCCCACTTCAATTCAAGTGTCCACAAAGCGTAAGTTGTGGAAACATCTTCTTGATCACCCCGACGTGCTCACAAGATTGTTGCGTGTGGAGCCTCTGCAGGTGGGAAGGGTGATGGGAGCCTCACTCTGTGAACGTGGGCCGCTCGCGCCGTGGGATGCCGCTCACTTCTCCTTCCCGGTACATTTCGCAAAGCTCTTCGCTCTTCTCGCGGGGCGCTCGGCGAAGGAGGCCTTTACCTTTTGTTTTGGTGCGACCTCTCCGTTGGCAGGAGAGAATGTAAAAATAGAAAAAGTAGCGAGAGGAGGAGATGCCGTGCTGCGATTTCAGCCTTGGCGGCTAGCAGCGAGGCCGTGGCCGCCCTACGCCTCGCTGCACGAGTTTATTGAACAAACCCTCCCTGTTCTGTTTGGCAGCGACGCCGGCCTCTCCTCCCATTCCCACTATTTCCCCATCCTCCCTGAAGCCTGGGAGCGGCTTCTCCACCTCGTTCTCACGCATTATATGTTCATGTTCGAAGCCGCCGAGGATGCCGCACGCCGTGAGGAGCTCGAAACGAGGCTCGTGTGGATGCTTCGGTGCGCGAGCCTCCGGCAGGCATCGTTAGATGCCCGCGTAGGGGAATTTCGCAGGAGGTCCATGGCCCGCTGCCTGGCGGCTCTCTACGCACGCAAAGGGCTTTTTCACGAAGCCATTCAGGCCTTCTTTGACGCGGACGCCAACCGCGCCGATCCACGGCTTTCCCGCCAGGTCTTTTCCTTTCTCCGAGAGATCGCACAGGGACTCGAGAGGGCGAAGGGCGCATCGCCGGCGGCAGCCGCGCAAACTCCCTTCTGCCGCCCACTCAAGTCAAAGCGGGCTCGAAAATGGACAAGCGCCCTACGCCGTGCGGTGCTCGATAACCTGGAGGCGCTCACTCAAATCGACCCCGGCGCGCTCACACAGTTTGTCTTTGATTTCATGTCGTCTGACCACAAGGATCTCCTCAAAGTGCTCGAGCGCTCGAGTGAGGTGTTTCTCCGGTATTTGGACGACCTTCTGGCCACCGGGGACGCAGTCGCCGCGAACAACATTAACCTGCAGAACTGCTATCTTGAGCTGCTCTGTGCGCACGATCCGAGTCGCATTTACACCTATCTTAAGGCAAGGGATGTGGAGATTACTTATGACGTGAAGCGCGCCCTGGGGATGGTTGCCCGGTACCAAATCCACGACGCGTGGGCGTTTTTGCTTGCGAAAGTCCACTTACTGCCCAACGCCCTGAACATTTTAACCCACGCCCTCGAGCGCCACCTGCAGAGTCCGCAACTGGCGGCTCGCGCAGCCCAAGGCCTCGAGGGCGGGCTTGAGCCGCCGACCGATGACGGCGCTGGGGAGTTCGCCGAGGCCCCGGTCCTTCACCTCCTGCAGGTCGCCATCGACCTTCTCACGACCCACCACGGCGATGTGGCCTCCGCGGAGGCGCTTTGGTTTGGCCTGCTCGACGCCGTCGCCGGCCCCCACGCGGCCCGCGTCCTGCGCGCGATGACCGCCGTGTTGGACCCGTCGGTGGTCCTTCGCCGGCTCACCGAGGGGGGGG